TCATAAGGGACTGCCAGTGACAGGCTGTTACATGCATAAAATGCAACCTTTTTATTCTGACAGTGTATGATTTCTATTAACATTACAGAATAGAACATGATCAATATTATCTTTCAACGTTCAATTTAAATAACTGTAATTGCACAAACTATGTAGGCTACAATTTCAGTTTGTTTATTGTGAAATAACTCTGTCCTTCTGTCCTCTGATAAGCATTGTTCAGGGATGAAGTTCCCAAAAGCTTTAATGCTTTCTTATGATACTTTTTGGAAAAGCAGCCCTGTTCGAATGTACTATCAGAAGTGAGTGAACGCTCTCTGTGATTGATTGGTTCTTGTCTTGCAACATTTGCGTGTTCAGATGAGCAGGAAAATAGTTCTATCCTACACAATACTCGCTAACAAAGGTTATTCGTCCAATTCAATGCATATTGTACGCATTATTTTTTTGTTTTGTTGTTAAATTAACAAAATCACTGGTAAATAAAACACACCTTAGTATCGATATTTTTAGGTGAGTGAACGCTCTCTGTGATTGATTAGTTCTGTCTTGCGACATTTGCGTGTTCAGATGAGCAGAAAAATAGTTATATCCTACACAATTACTCGCTATCAAAGGTTATTCGTCCAATTCAATGCATATTGTACGCATTATTTTTTGTTGTTGTTGTTATTGAATTAACAAAATCACTGGTAAATAAAACACATCTAAGTATCGATATTTTTTGTTTGACTGTCGATACTTTCGATACTCGTGTCAGTATCGATATATTGATACTTTGGATCGATACGCCCATCCCTTCTATTACTCACTTGTGTTTTGGAAGCTGTCCTCAGTAAAATGCGCAGCACACAATGGCAAATTGGGGTTATAATGCTCAGGAACATAGTTAAATGTTATAGTAAATATAACTATAACTATAAATAAATGCAGGCTTGGTGAACAGAAGAGACTTCTTTAAAAAACATTAAAAATCTTGCTGTTTGACTGGCAGTGTATAGGCAACTTTAATTTTTCTCTAATTTCTAGATTTTAATTGGCTTAGAAATCAGATAACTGCTAGACAATAACCAATAATAATGATTTGTTTATATACTACAAACACTTTATAATCACATAAGGCAGAATAATTT